AACTCACCAAATTTACACATGTTTTGTGCTGCTGCACCTGCTGTGAGTTCACACAACCAATTAATGTCGGAATGAACGGTCTTTGTGTGTGGCAGGAGATTTGCTGTACTGCAACAGAGGATTAAAGGCAGGGACTTTGAGAAGACACTGGACAAAGAAGAGAAAGATTTCTACAAAGGTACTTCAGCTCTTCCTTCAGAATACTTCACCTTCTTCATCACCAAATTGACAATAGACGTCAATTACGTCTTCACAGAGATGAAGAGAGAATTTCCTTGCTTTCTTGGACAATGAAAGAGAAAGTTGATTTTTGCTGATCACAAAAAATGGTTCTCATCAAACTCAACTCAATGGTTCTGTTTCCTAGATCATATCGAGTTCGGGGAGGTTGTGTCAGCCCCGCCAGTCTTTTCAGCTAAACCACGAAAGGGCAACGTCAAAACAGACAAGGTATGTTACTCCAAGAGACTCACATTCTGTGTATGTTTTTGTTATCATTGTTGATGTTAATCCCAGCAGGAAATCTCTCCAACTTGGCCTACAGTTCCAAGGGCGTGCAGCTCATCATCTCAGATGTCATTTTTAGACCCTTATTATGACCCCGATTTTCTTTAGGTCCATTTATTATGTGAAAGTGAGTCATGTGCATGTCACTAAATTATTGCGTATGTACAGTACCTGGCATAGAATGAACAAGGAAGTTAGACTTAGCCTCAAGCACATTGTTGGAGAACCCAATGGAATCGCCCATGAAAAGTCGAGAGTCATGATAACTGGCCACCGCTTTGCTCTAGTCCCTGGTTTGATGCTCCGGATGAAGGAGAGACTCTGTAAATTAGTGTAGTCACAAGTCCAGCCCCAGGCTCAGTCACATGTAGTAAGATGAACCAGTGACATAGGAATGGGTGACTGGACCTAAGACTAGATGACTTGTGATAGACTTCCAGGGGCTTGCAATGGACTAGACCACAGCCCTACTTGTCCTTGGCAAACATAAAGTCTGCCAGTAATCCTGAGAATTGAGAAATAAACTGTCTCTCTCCTCCATGTAGCCTGGCAAGAGACAGCTTCTCCTGAAATCCATGCTACAGCAGCAGTCCTCTGAAAGTAACCAGCGAAGGGAAGCCACCAAGAGGCCAAACAGGACGGAAGGAACCTCCCAAGACCACACAGCAGCAAAGATGAAGAAGAGGAAACACATGACCAATGCTGAGAAGCGGAACTTTGACCGGACTCGAGAGACGGCCATTTTGGCCTACAGGAAGGCCAAGGGACATGAACCAGACCATCCAATGTTGATGAGAACTTGATGTCAGTGTAGTCTTGCATCAAACAAAGAAATATAAGACAATTCAACATATTTTGAATTCAAAGTCCAGCCAACAAGGTTATGATGCGTGTCCTTGGGCCAGGCACTTTGCGTCAACTTTTTTCTCTATCCTTGAGTAGATGGCTGCCCATAAGGGCAGAGTTGGCTGTGGCATGTGTCTGTGTTTGAATTAGTTTCTTGTGCCCAAAATAACATCAAGCTGTGTGCTTCTACAGAGTTGGGATGATTTTAAAACTCTTTGTATTTGACCAATTACAGGGCGATAGTTTTTGTATTGTCTTGTGCACCAGTTTCAGATTGCACGTATGTCATTGCATAGGAGCACCCAACCAGTAGCATGACTTACATGAAATTCCTGAGGGAGCACAGTTATTCATGAGGGTGCTGAAAGCCGATGAACTGTGGTCTATGCATATGTTGGGTATTTTTCAAGATTTCAAATGAGGGGAGGGGCACAGTTGCTGCTGGGGAAAGGACATGAAATTAATTATGTGTGTGGAAGGACATGGAAATGACTTGGAGCAGTTCAAAGACTCAGTCACTGGAGTTTTAAATTTGTCTGATAAGCTGGATATGTTGACAGGATTCTTAGAATTTCTGTAGGAACACGGTCAGGTTAAACTAGTGTGATATGGGTTATCCCTCCAGTGCAAAGTGAGAAAGGGAGATGAGGAGTGCAGCTCAAGTTTTCTGCTCATTTGATTGTCTCAATAAATGGATACTGGTATTTATAAACTGATTGATCGTGTTATGCACTTGTTCCTTGTAGAGTATTGCAAGGTTGCCAGCATTGAGTTGATAATGAGCATTGGCAAGGGAGTGGTGCAAGGGGAGGGGAGACGGTAGTTGTGTTGGGGGGGTGAGGGCTTACAATAAATGGCTCGTAGGATCTGAAAGTCCATTTTAAAACAACTTATATGTTTTTATTCACATAACATACATGTACTGTATAATGTAACAGTTGCTGAGGAAATTGTTCATTCCTTATGAGAAAGCCGTTATCTTACACCATTTGCTGGTTTGGTGGAAAGTTAGGTAAACTTTGATAACTGAAATTACAGCTGTTCAAGGGAAATGTGGGCTAATTTCTTTTGCAAATATGTTGGCCTGCAGAGGATATTTAAGTTGATTTAGTTTTTTGTGATAGTTTGATGGCTCAGTGGAAAATTATAAGCAATTGATCAGTTCAATCTTAAGTGATTTTTCGTGATAGCAGCTGGCAACTGTTAGAATTTAGTTTGATCTTTTAATGCAACTTGAAGAGTTGGCAGCCCTGGAATATGGCTATAAGAAAGTGATCTGTCTTCAACGACAAGTTGGCCCTGATAGCCTTCCTCTTCAAGAGCGTACAGTTAAAACATTAATTTTTCTTTAGAATTGAATGGACGTCACGATGGCTTGTGAATCTGAGCGTTTTCAAAGCCTGAAGATTATACCGTGAGAACTTGTTCCTCGGTGAATATCTTTGGGTTTTAACTTTTGGGCAAAATATTTTCTGATTGAGCGCTGCTTCTTTTTTGTGGCTTACTGTGAGGAAAGTGTTTGGGTATTTTCTCTATCTTCACCTGAAAATAAAGAATGAAACAAACGAGAAAGATAATTTTTCAGAATATTAGTTGACTGAACATTGTTTACTTTTTGCGTCCAGAAGAGGGCGCCCTCGAGTCACGAGTTACTGAACAAAACAATGCTTAGCCTACACACTTCACTTCCTGGACTTTAGAGCACATTCACATTCGAATAAAACTCTGTAGATGTTGTTTCCTTGGTGAAAAAAAGTCAGAAAAATGGCCAGCAGTGGACTTACGGAAACGGGCGAGCTGTATTCTCCTGTGGTAAGAATCTTAACCTGTTTGATGTGTAGCTTGTATTTTGTATGCCATTCGGCATGTTCATGGGCCTGGCGCTGGCAATGGGTGCGGGGGGGGGGGGATACTGCATGCTGTCAATTGCTGTTTGGCCGGCCCAACGCTGAGACAAGGCTTCAGAGTTAGTGCATTGGCCTACATTGTACAAAGGAATGACATACTTTATCAAACACTTACATGTATAGTTACATTGATATTGCGATATGTTGTAAGAAATGTACCGGTCATGCTGGTGGTAAGTTTACACTAGGGATTTTTAGTGTCATAAATTTGGGCAAGGTATGGTCCAAACTCTAGACTAGAATAGAGTCTTGTAAATGGAGGACTCCAGGTTCACCATTCAGTCACTGATCACTGCATACAATATATGGACATTTTAATCCCCTCAATTGATTGGCAGTATACTGCAGTAATGTCATTCTGTGTGAACAGCTAATCACCTTTACTTTGTTGTAATTTATGATTGTGGTAAATTGTTTTTAAAACAGGAAATGAGTTGAAGATTTCCTTCTGGTTTAATACATGTAGATATAGCACAGTGCGATTGACAGATCATATAGGTTGTTCAGCACACCAGACATGACCTTGGGAAGAGTTCCATAATGCCATATATTCGGACGCCAGTAAATTTTATTCCCTACACTACAGTGACCTGTTAGCTGTCAGAAAGCAAAAACAAGTCAAGAAAAGTTCAAATTAGGAGGGAAAAATCCATGTTGTTTAATTGGAAAACACTTAAAATTTTTCAGACCAGTCTCATAGGGTTTGTGCCCCAGGGTTTCAAGTGTATGGAACTCTTTCCCATGATCTTTGGGAACACTTTACACATTTAGAACCAAGCAAAGCTCATTCGCTTTTTCATTATTAAGCAAGATTCTCAGCACAATTTTGGGAAGAATTCCGTGCAGGGACGTCACTGTTTTTCCCAGCAGCGATATTATCCATCAGAAGACAAGTTAAGCATGCTCTAAAAGTCAACATTTGGTAGAGAAAGTTTGAGAGCATTCACACAACACAAAGACCAATCTCATAGGGTTTGTGCTCACGGTTTCAATCGATGTACAGGTATAGATCTTTTTCCAAATATATATTTTTTGAGGTGAAAGAGAAATTTCGATCAATATAACTTGAATTTGATCACATTGCAAGCCTCCCTGTTTCCAGCGGTTGGAAAAGAGGAAGAGTAACGACAACATGTCTAACACGTAAACTTGCTTGTCTCATCAATATTTGCCCTTGAAATTTCCACTGACCAGGAGTCTTCTCTTGTTGGGTAAATAATGCCTTCAACTGGTTTCTGATCCTTGGCAGTTTGGTATGATCTATGTCTTCAACCTGATTGTAGGCACTGGAGCCCTAACCATGCCACTAGCTTTTGCCAGGGCTGGCTGGGCCATGGGCGGAGCTCTCATTGCCATCCTGGCTTTCGCCAGGTAAGTCCTTGCTGAATTCAGTGACAGCATATTCAGAGATTTGGAAGATTGGGGATCACAGTGTAGAAAAAAATGGTGTCACTCATATGTGAAGGATAACCTTCAAAATTTCTGCAAGGTGGAGATTGGGTTTTGATTGTTTCACCTGCTGATTATCTGATGATTTGATTGATGAATGTGTAGAAATGCACAGAGCAAGTTCTTTCTTTTGACGTACTTTTGTGTGACTTACATGTGTGCAGCACTGGTCCGGTGGAGTGGACTGACCATTATCTAATCTGTATGTCTTGTATATATGTCTTGATAAAGCCAAAGAACTTTGGGCCCAAATTCATTACGGGTCGTTAGTTCAAGAAAAGGTCTTCATTCTTCTGTCTTATTTTGAGATGAGCAATCAACTTGCATTGGCTCCATGGAAAAGGTATCTTAAAATGCAGCTTCATCATGTTCTTGTCTTTTTATCCAGTGACTAAACAATATATGTTGATGGTTAACTTACCAGCTTCCTGACTGTAACCTTTGTAGTCGAAGCCATGGCCTCGGCAAATGCAGTCATGAGATTCAAGCGCAAGGAGAAACAACGTGAGGTATGGTGCAAAAATCTCAAGTATAAAAAAAAATAGGAATTATAACTGAAAGAACCACATTACACGGTAGAGCACATTTAGGACCTACAAATACTAGGCCGCATGCCATGGCCTGAAGGCGTAGGGGATGCTAACAAACACACCCTACGTAGTACTACAAATTACTACTTGTAGTAAAATGTAGTACTCAGCCCTGTCGCTTGTAAGAGGACATGACCTTATTTTTCTGTGAAGCCATAAGATACAATAGATGAGACAATGTACCATACAGTTCTGTGACACTATGAATGCACGGCTTTATTGTTCTCTGTACCAGTAACAATGGAAGTAACCTAGCCAGAAGTAGTAATTTGTAGCGCTAGGTCCTTCAGGCTCAGACTATTACTTGGAATTTTGTAGTACTGAGTAGTGTAAGCCAAACAATATGCTTGGCAGTTAGGGTTAAACACATCTGCATTTCCTGGATCTCCAAGAAAAGATGAACGTTCTGCACATCACAGGGGTATACATATGCACCAAAGCCCCAGTTGGTGGACCGATTGATAGCATGCAAGCGGCTGACTGCAGGAGAAGGCATCGCTGAACCCTCTATACAGTCCCTCAACATTCCCTTTCCCTCTCAGTCAGCCCAGATGCTGCGGTTCAAATAACGTTTGCACTGTGCTCTCGCTTTCCAAGCATTTACGCAAAACAAGTGATGGAATTAAGATTGTTCTTAGTTAACTCTGACCAACCCCAAACTGTTCAAAACACAGCCAGTGGCATTCCTCTTTCTTGTCTGAAAAGATATGACCGATGAACTTCTGGTCTGAACTTTTCTGTTTCTCCAGTTAGAGGATTCCTCCAGCAGTTCTCAGGACACTGTGGAATCTCCCTATCTCCATGAAGTAGAGAGTGACGAGAAGAAGAGCTTGTTGCATCCACCTGTGGCAGGTACATGTAAGTTACACTCTGGTAAAGCACAACTCAGCTTTAATTGAGCAGAATATATCTATGTATAGTAACCCTAATACTACAAATTACTACTTGTAGTAAATGTAGTACTCAGCCCTGTCGCTTGTAAGAGGACATGACTGCATTGTTCTCTGAAGCCATAAAATACAATAGAAAAGACAATGTACATGTACCATACAGTGCTGTGGCACTATGAATGCATGGCTTTATTGTTCTTTGTACGAATAACAATGGAAGTAACCTAGCCAGAAGTAGTAATTTGTAGCGCTAGGTCCTTCAGGCTCAGACTGCTACTTGGTATTTTGTAGGACTGAGTAGTGTAAGCCAAACAATATGCTTAGCGGTTAGGGTTAACTAAAAAGCGATTGGATCTCTACTTTACCAGTCCTACAAAGAGTTTGCCATTTTTGTCAAAACTGGGAAAATCAAAGAATGAAAAAGATTGATGGATACAAAATTCCAGAATGATAGCGACTTCATAAAAGTACACAGGCAAGATGGTTTATCTTTGTATTTCTGTCAAATCTTTTTTATACATTGTACGTATTCTACATTTATTTTTACAATTTTGTATGTTTTGAAATGATCAGTGTCACTCAGGAAGGAGTCCAACTTCTTTTGTTTATTGTAGCATGTAGAAACAAGAAACACCAGGATTACTTTGAAATCACCGAGCGAGTTGAGATGGCCAAGATGGCATCACTTTTCTTCAATAAAAGTACGTAACTGAACATACGGGTCTCATTATGTTGGCTTGGGTTCAAATCCCACTGGGTTGATCACACACATTGATTTTGTATGCTGTGGCCACAGAAACTGAACTCATAGCTGGGTCAAGTTTGGCAGGATGTTTCGTTCGTTGTCTTGAATGTTGCCTTCAAGGCATTATAAGGATACTCCAGCAAAAAACCATGACCTGCATTCATGTTTGTTGGACCTAATTTAAGTCAGTGCTCCCCAACTGTTGAAATCCCCTCTGACATTCAGTAAATGGTTTCAGTACCATCTTGGCCTGGTTATCTTGCACAGTTGGCGTAAATCTCTTCTACCTCTGCATGGCGATCTACCTGTACGGTGACCTGGCCATTTATGCAGTCACAGTGCCAACCTCACTCAGGAATATAACCTGGTAAGGAATGAATTTTCTTCTCTAACAGCAGGGTGGAGAGGGATGTTGGGTACTCATCGCCAATCAGGCTTGGCATTCCTTTACATTCTGCCTTTTGTTTGAGTTTCTGGCTCTTTCTGCAAGTGCAAATCTGGTTCAATTCCCACTGAGGCAACCAGGTGGATTTCAGTTGACTTGTATCGAGAAGGATTGCACCGAGGCACTGATTAGAAATATGCCAGATTGTTATTTGTGACAAAAATGAAAAAACTAAATGATATGGGATTTAGTAATCTGTTTCATTTGCTTGCATTTCCCTTGGGCTGTTTTATACTGTCCTAGTTGCAGTGTGACCTACTGAAAAGAGGAAAGTGTAAACACCTTCTGTGCTGAAATGTTAATCATCTTACATATGCACAGCATGCAGAGGACTTGAAAAAAACCAAGTGCATGACTGATTGCAAGCTTCCAGGGTACACACAACCTGCATTCAGTCTCAATAACCTGGAATCTTGCCGTCTTGAGTCTGGGCATGGTTTATCAGTGAACATTATGCCTTACAGGGATGTGAACAATGAGGATTTTTTTCATGATTTGGGGAGTTTTTATTACTCCTGAATTTCTTGAGTTTTAAACATCTGGTCCTTCAGGTTTTTATAAAACCTTTTCCTATTTGTAAGAAAGGACTGATGGCAAGATTCACGCAGCCATTTGGGAGAGACTTCTCCTATTGTTAGCTGCTAAAAGTCCCCCCAAAGCCATTTTGGTCATTTTATAAACTTGGGGTCTAGTTTTTTTCATGTTCCTGTCACACCTGACATATAATTTTGTAAGTAAACACTTTTGATAATTTCCATGCAGATTACTTGCCCAACAAACAAAAAAGTTTTAGATCAATTTTAATGATACTTTCACTTTAACCTACACCAGTCAAGTGTAACCGAACATGAAAATGTGACTTTTGGACCTCAAATTTATAGTCAAACTCGTTTGTTTTCATTAGCAATTGTCTACTCCAAGCAGGTACAAGAGAGAGCATGTTTTATTGAAAGTGAAGTTCCTTTGGTGGGGACTCACTGGTCGAGTTCGGGTTGCCTGTTCTTGACACGAGTTTCATGTTCTCGCGCTCGAACGGCGGGAATATGACCCAAGAACGGGTTTACACATCACCTCCTCGTCAGGGTTTTACATGAACACACGTAAAAACTCGTGAGATTTGGTTTGATTGAAAAGCTGCAAAAACTATCGAGATGGCTTACAAAGGTGGAGACAATGGAAAGTTTTCCAAAATTAACAATGATTTTCCATGGGAGAAGTGATTTTTAATGGAAAAGAAGTTAGCCCAATTATCCAAACATTAACTCTTGAAGAATGTGCAAGGACGCCGCCATGTTGCTTGCATGCTACAAATAACTAGTACCGATAACCGGTTGTACGTTCCCGGCGTTTGAGCGGCCGACCCATGAACAGCAAATCGAGCTGTTCTTGAACATACGAGAATAGCCGCCCGAACTCAGCCACTGTGTGAGTGCACAGGTTAATGCACATGAGACGTGGGGCGCGAGCGATGAGTACAGGTTCATGCAATCATATATAAGCTTAGTTGAAAACTTCCCACCAGCCTGTCTCTCCTTTGCCAGTGAGGGTGCACTTCAACTCACAGCAGATAACGCCTTTGCTAGATTTTTGATGGACTTCTCTTCATCTCTCAATACCATCCCTGGTAGTCCACAGTCAACAGTAGTCCACACCAAAGGAACGTTACCCTGTTCTAGGCAACAGTTAAGCTGATGTGCCCACACCTAACGATCCATCTTTGCACCTGTACCATTCGAGGGCCATGACGAGGTATACAAAGTTAAACACCAGAGGTTTTCCTTCCATTGCAGTACGTACAAACCCGAGAACTCCTCAGCACACGATGATGACCCTTGCTGGGACGGTGCTGATATAACCAGAATTAATGTCTACAGAATATATTTGGTGAGATTGTTTTACTTTTGTTTAAACTCATTCTTTGGTTTAAATACTAATGTGCATACTTGTTCTGAAGTTGTGGAGACTTCATAGTTGTTGAAACCTGGATGTTGTGGGGACCAAAATTTTCGCAGGGGACAAATTTTGTCGCAACATTTTTGCCTGACTTGCTTAACAAAAGGAATTGAACCCCATGGTCTTCAACTGAAATTATCCTTTGTAAAATGCAGTATCTATAAATGTAGAATTTATTTCCAAAATGCGATAAGCACCATTTTTGGTATCTTTCAGAATCCCACCCTCTTTCTGTTGTCTGCACTGCAGTCAGTGTCTGGAACTTTAAGACAGCTAAACACAACTTGAATGAGTCAAAAATGAAAAAGAAGTTCAGGGACACATGGTACACGGCTTAAGCTCTGCACTCTTTCATAATTGCGGATTCATTGCATGTGTTTCAAATGGATATATGTCATTTTGGAAATAAACCCTTCAGTTTACAGAATTTGTTCATGCATGTTAGTGATAAATGCACAGCGTGAACGGTCAGTGGAACTGTGGTGCAGTTTCCTTTCTAGTTGAATAATTTACTCCAAAGAAACCTGTCAGTTTCAGTTCTAATGAACCTAAAAGTCCCAAATCCTCCAATTTCAATATTATTTTGCATGCACCCTAGGGGATTAGGGTTAGGAGTAGGATTGAAGTTCTGACCAAATGACATCATGAATGCTACTTGATGGTACTTAATTGTTTGCTCAGGTTTGTTGTAAAACAAGCAACGATTTCTTGTCTGTCTTTAATTTCAGAGCCTTTTTAGTGTTGCGCTGGGCATATTTGCCTTTTTCAATGTTCAGAAGACCAAGTACCTGCAGCTTCTCACAACCTTTCTTAGGTGGCTCGGTAAGACAATCCCATTTTCCCAGAAATCATGTGAGAATTAACACGGCCTTATTTCCACCTCTCGAATACAAATTTGATACATCAATTGTCGGTTTTTGCAGCATTCTCCATGATGATCGTCCTGGCGCTCATTGTACTCGGTAATGGCAAGGGCGAAGGTGACCCGATTGCGGTGGGAGCCTTTGAAAGTATCCCCAACTTCTTCGGCGTGTGCGTCTACTCCTTCATGTGCCACCACTCTTTGCCTTCCATGGTCACGCCCATCAAGAGGAAGAACCGCCTCTCGGCGCTCCTGGCTGGAGACTACGCTCTTATCTTAGGCTTCTACCTGCTCCTCTCGCTCACAGCCATCTTTACTTTCAGTACCCGCAGCATACAGGAGATTTACACTCTGAACTTCTTCGGCAGCGGGAGCGTGGCCACCCAGGTGGTGCCCGTCCAGTACTTCATCGGGCTGTTCCCCGTCTTCACGCTCAGCACCAACTTCCCCATCATAGCCATCACCCTGCGGAACAATCTCAAGATGCTTTTTGCCCGAGAGGGTCGGCCCTACCCGTGGGCAGTGGACCGCATTGTCTTCCCCTTACTAGCCTTGCTGCCGGGCATAATCGTTGCCTTCATCACCACCAATGTGACAGAGCTTGTGGGTTACACAGGGTCCTATGCAGGGGCCGGCATTCAGTACGTCATCCCTGCATTTCTGGTATATTGTGGCCGCAAGAAGACTGAAAAATTGTTTGGGCAGAACTGGAACAACAAGCACAGATCTCCCTTCAAGCACAAAGCTTGGGTGGTGATTGTGTTACTGTGGGCTGTGCTGTGCATCGGCTTTGTCACAGCCAATCACATCATTACTGCCACACACCATGAGTAAGGCAGCCACTGAGAAAAACTGGATGTGTTAATGGCTACATGCAAGAACTTTTGAGGGCACTGCAGAGCATACTGGCAAAAAGTCACATGAAGCACTCTCTAATAGTACATACTAAATGGTGTACATTCATCATCAAAGGATGGCACTTACCGACAGTCCATGCTTAATGGTTCCATTCATCTCAGGGACTGTGTAAACAGCATTGAATTTTCAGTTGCATGAACACAAAAATCATGTTGTTCAGTTTACTTCCAGATGCTAAACAATATTTTGTTTAAACTGAACCTCTTACAGTGCCATTCATTGAATTTAAAGAAGTGGCAGCCTCACCCATCAGTGACTGTACTAAAAGGTAGACAGAAAAGGACACGTAGAACGACATGTCATATATTCATGTACATATTATGCTCAGAGAGTGTACAGTACGTATTTTATGAGAAGTGCATCATATGCATATGGTGCACATCAGTCTACGTGTTCTTTTCCATCTACCATGTACTAAATAGGTTACAAAGAGAGCCAAATTGTGGGAGTTCAGGGAGTTCATTTTTTTTTTATTTTAAAAAGTTTGGGGGTAAAAGTTAACATTGTTTAATAGTAACAAAATTCAAATCCATTGACCTTTGTATACGTGGACTTTTGACATACCCTCAGAAGATATAAATAAACAAGTACACGTAAATTCTCCAGCAAGTCAATTCCATTTATTGCAAACTTCAAAAACCCTCAAAATAATACACTTTTTACAATTGTGTACGTACAAGTGACTATCACCACTTCACAGCACATGTACCTCTCTGTACACGTGGTTGGTGTTTCTAATTCCCAAAATCTTACTTAATATTAACGGGTACAAAGCAGGAATTTCTATCCCGCAGTTGTGGTTATGTGCCATTTACTGCAAACCAGCACTAGCCGGAATGATTCTGCTTGTACCCAGTCCAAGGGCTGGCATTTAACTTGCTAAGCAATGGAAAAATTTTGTTCACTATCAATTTTGAGGTGGTGTATTGATGAACGGTGACTGTTTTAAGGGGTGTATATACATGACACTGTAATTGCCATTTTTAGGTACAAACGTGAATGTACCTTTAAATATGTTCATCTTGGCCTGATGTAATTACTATTTTCAAAAGAAAAATAACATATTTGACAAAGGGCAAATGACTCCAGTCCAACCTCAGAGTAAAGTTTCTATTGGTCTGAAAAATGGCTACTGGTCTTGCATTAACACAGAAAGCATGAGCCCAGTGAACACACAATAGTTTATATTTGACTGAAATTTGTAATGAAATGGAATCGTAGAAGTGTAAATCAGGTGTGATAATAAAACGTAAACATACATACTTTTCAGGCTTTATGCCCTCAACAACACCTATGTATGCATGTATTATGCTCTCTTAGCACTGAAGTCAATTTAATATTATAAGGTCGCATGCATACATCCCAGCGTCCTTGTCATTTGGCCACAGACTGTACATGGAGCGGCAAGGACGCTTTGGGCAGCATCGTTAACTTTGTGGATCTCGTGCTGTCACGTGTGCCATTAACTCCGTTCTGGTGACGGACTCCAAGTCCGGAGCCTGTAGCAGGCCGGATACCTGGCACTGTGGCTCTTGTGGTCCCGCACCTTCTTGGCGCTGCCCCGCTCGGAACCGGGCTCGTGTTCCTTCCAGAAGTCTTCCACCTTGACTTTGATGTCGGCATTCTCGTCACGCCACTCTCGCTGCCACTGGCGAAGTTCCTGGATGTGTTCCTCCTTTCTCACCTTTCAGGTATAAAGAAAAAAAAAGATTCCAAATCTTGCATGGAGCAAATGAACATTGGAAAGAAAAAAACCTGATCGGTAGACAAAGTTTTGTGATAGGATATGACAGAGATAATATTGGCGACGTAAATGTCAAAAGCAGTCATACCTGCTGGGCACTTCTAAATCTCACAGAAATTGAAAAACATAAGGGCAATCTTCTTTGTCCTATTGTAATACTTAAAGTTGCTGCAATACAGAGAATCATTCATTCATGTTTTATTACACATTCATGGCTAGCAAGGCCCAATTACACTATTGCAGCTTAAACATAATAATGTGACATTAAAGTGAAGTGAATACGTTGTGCATACAATCAAGCTTAGGAAAGCCATTAGCATGAAAACCAGTGCGTGAACCAACGGTCGCGTACTCCATATATTTGCACTACACTTCCTGGTTCAAAATGCGTCACACTTAGGTACTCAATAGGTTGTTGAGTGGTTCAATGGGGTACATATTCACACCTGCTGAAAACGGCAAAAAAGCAGTCTGAGCTGAATGCTTATAAAAACTCTTGACTGATGTATGCATGTAAAGCCGTAGTAAAGTGGGCTAACTTAAACTGTGTGGTGATGAAGCATGCACCATCCACACCCATTGCCAATCAGGGCCGATGCTTCAGAACGTGTAGCTCCAAGTTGTCCCAAATGCATTTACCCAAATCGCCTTTAGGTTTGCCAGAAAGCCTATCAAAACCGAAGGATTGAGGAGCGATGTGGACAGGATGGGCCCAATGATGGCTTGGATGTTGCCAGTTTACCTTGAATCCCCTGTAGAATGACTGGATGACGACTGCTGCTTCATGCTCTGTCCATATCAGCGACAAGGGGAGGGGTGGGCGGGGGCTGTAGGAGGTGGGGGGGAGAGAAAAAAAGACAGGTAAAGTCAACTAAAAGCTACAGGTATGCTGCCCGTAATCGCTAATGGCTCCAGGAATGCTCAATGGCCCGTTTCATTCAAGAAAAAGTAAAAAAGAACAAAAACCCCTGAGTGTGCCTTGTTGAGTGAAGTTGATATCTTTTTAGTGCAATACCAGCCAGATTTCATTTTGAAGGGACTCATTTTGAAGAAGGTCTTATACTTTTCACTCGCAGGTGACTCTGTTACAAGCACTTGTAAAGTTTTCCCTCTGCACACCACTGAAAAACCATACTGGTTACCATACTGAACATGCTGCCGCACTGTGTTTTGGGACATTTAGCACTAAAAAGTGTAGGCGTACACATTTCACTGGTTGGCTTTCTGGGCCTGATGCTACCAATGAACTTTAATCTTACTGGTCGGCAAGGATCCTCTTGACGAATGGAATATCTTCTAGCTGGTCTGACTCTCTGCCTGTATACTTGGGGTTGTGTCTGCATTAATAGAACCGATTGATCAAAATGTCTATGAGAATGTTTCTCATCTGACGAGTTGTCTTCATTTCTTTGTCATCACCTGCTAAAACCTGCCATTCACAATAGTGCAGCCCCAAGAGTCTGAAACGCGTCGGCAAATCACAACGCGCGAAATTTGTCAACCCTTTCCGAACGCGCATTGGTCAACAGATTTCGCGCATTGTGATTGGCCAACACATTGCAGACTCTTGGTGGCGCACTATTCTGAATCGCCCGTATTGAATGAGTGAATCCTCAAGAACTCCTTATCCCTGTCGCATGCTTTGAATGAGGTTTGGATTAATGCCTTCATGTAGAAAGTCTGTTTCGAAAATAATTCAGGATTGCCAAAAAAGATGACCGTGCCATGACAATCACACTCACCTCCACAAATACTCAGTCAAATAGTCACAACCATTGAATCGAAACCTTTTCCTCTGCAAAAATGAAAAACATGGCTGCTTCAGGAACTGGTTGTTCAATTGTCACTTTTGTCAACTGCCACTATTCAGCAAACACTTTTGAAACAAAAACATAGTCCAAACTAATGCTGCACTTCAATGAAATAACAGAAGAAACAAAACGAAAAGAAATGAGATGAAGCGGAAACACAAGGGAAGTAAACGATACAGTAAAGTAAAGCAGGAACGATCAAAGCCACTACAAACATAAATATGGCTTACTTCGAAGCATTTCTCTTTCTTGGCTTGTTTTAGCATCGCTAACAAAGCTGGAAGAAGAACTGGGAAGATGTAGTGTTCTAAATACTCTCGAGGCATACCTAAGAAATACAACACGAGTGAATATTCAAAGCTGCATGTCACGAATCTTTATTTTCCACAGTACTTTGCAATAAAAAACGAACAACACAAAAAGAGCGAAGAGATATGGAAATATTTGAAGACCAGATGTTTTTCTGTTTTTTGCTTTTAAATGTGGAAGCAACTTTTGCTATTCTCAAGAAACAGTCAAACAACATCACTCCTTTGAAAACTACCCACTTTTGAGGTCCTGACAGACTATCTTGGGCCATATCTCTGCACAAGTTTAATTTAGACCTCAAAATTCACGGATTCAATCTACTGAAGCAAATGCTAGCCATGAGTACAACTCGGGAGAATATCAATGGCTTCAGGACAATTATATGTATAGTTATCTACAAATGTGCACATATTTTTTATTTTTTTTGGGGGGGGGGGGCTCAGAGAGGTACCTACATGTTTCTCGTGGTGGGGGTGTAGGGGGAGGGGGTGTGTCTCGCTTGGCTTGTCTCTCCAGCATGGTGTAGCCTATGCACGCAGGATGGGAGCTGGCTGGGTCAAAGTCATCAGCAGCCAGGCTGTCTACTTCCACCCGTTCAGCCATGTGGCCAAACATAACTGGGGAGTGAGCTTCTGGCCTGAATTCAGTGATATCTGTGGTAACTGAGCCTTGATCGTCATCCTTCGGAAAGGGTGGTCTCATCAAGGCAAATTCTGCCAAAAAGAAACAGCAAAAGTTGTTATAATGTTTCCATGTATACAATTTTTTCAAAATTAAAAGCTACAATGTGCCCTTTGTGCAAAAAGTCTTCAACAGGTGGACACCATATAAAACCTTTGGGAAATGTTCAATTTGCAATGACGGTCAGAGTCTGCTTTAGAATGCTTTCTTTAAAATAGGCCAATCCATTATATCCCTGTCCCATGCTGTTCTGACCAATCACATTGTGACATCCAACGTGTGTGATGTCACATGTATGAACAATTAAACATCTGATAGATCTGTATGCACATGACACCCGGGACTGGAAGTTGCAGTATGCCATGGGAGAGAAATGTGGGTTAGGCTTCATTGTCCACGAGTGCAGTGGTGATCGAGTGGGCAGGGCTTATTCCAGGGT